AGGTCTTCTTTGTGGTTGGATGTCGGTGGCAAGCATGTTTACCTTGCACACCTGTGTGGATTTATTGTGCCCTTTCCCTACAAGACACCTGAGGTGTCGACTATGCAATTGTACACCCTTTTATTTTTTCCATAGTGAACTGATGAACATTAAATTTCAGGAAATTATCGTGCTGATTTGCTGGTCCTATTGGCATATCAGGTACTCCAAATGTTCAGCAGCCAACAGACATATTTGGTGTACTTGCAATACGCTCCACCTGTTGGATGCTTTGGTAAGCCGGATATTCCACAGAAGAGCATTCTTTTCAGCTTGAGATTTTTATTAAGATGGCCACTGCGTCAAAATTCAAGGAAAATGCTACAAGCCTTGTCCGACTTGTCCTGACGTCTGCTCACATGCGAATGGAACAGAACGAGTACGTGACTGTTCAGCACTGTAAGCAGGGCACGTCCTGCCGCCGGTGAAAATTTTCGAACAATACGAGGCTCCCATAAAGTCCGTCCTATTAGACCCCCCCTAATTTGTATCCTCCAGTTCTATACATGGCCCTTCCCCTAGCACGAAATACGAACGACTCTCTGCTGGGATTCGTCAACGAATGTCGTGGGCAGATTGTAAACAATGTTGAAGATTTGGCTGAATTCCCTTCGGTGGAAGTGGAATAAGGACACACTCTCCGAAGGAGTCGTCGAGATCGGCTCCACATTATTTGGTGACCCGAGCGATACTGTGGAGAACTACAGACTTGTTCGCTGCAGATGCTGGGGCCTGTCAAGGGAATGCGTTTGGCGTAGTGCCCGGCCGTTGTCCACCGATTATTAGGGGGGTATAGTCGATTGGTGGCACTTAATTAAACTCAAAACGTCGATTGCAAATCAAATTACGATCAGAGCGAGCGACATCGTTATTTCTAGCAAGCATGCGAAGAAGGACACCATTATTATTTCCTTTCTCCAATGATGGAATACCAAATCAAGTGTAGGCCATTCTATCAAGAGTACGTTGTTTTGCAACATATGTTTGATTCTGACGCAACGCTTATGCACCATATCGATCGGCATCTATTGTTCTAACTGGGCGTGTTCCGCTGGTACTAAATGGTTTTCTGCATTTTCGGAAAGGTTCACTAGGCGGGTAATATGAGATTTGCTGCTTCTGAGAATGCCAGAAAAGAGTGAGGAAGTTCCTTCTAGGAAGCGCTTTCGAAGACGATCCCCGCGATCAAACGTTACCAGTCGCATCGCCCAGCTGTCCCGGGCGCTCCTCCTTCTGTGACATGTCCCGGCTTCGCCGGGCGAACGCGGATTTGCCACGCAGGGCGCATCATTGCTTGGGAGTTTGGTCGAGTCCGTCAGCAAGACCCCCCGCCCTTTTTTTTAAGAATCCTTGTCATTTTGCCTGTTTATTTGCGTTTTCTTCCAACACCTACGTGGAAGAAAACAACTGCCAAGCTTAAAATTCCCCTGGCTTCTGAGCACCTTCCAGCACTGAACACCAGCCGAAGAATTTCTGTACGAGTTAATTTCCAAACATTCCGTAGGTACACAAAACAGGATCCCAGCAAAATTGCTCACTCTATTTACAGGAATTCAGTTTAGATGAACTCCGGTGTTCTAATACATGTGTTACTTCAGTTAAGATGGAAAACCATAAGGCCCGACTTTAAACAGGTGGAAATTCAAAAATTATAACGATTTTTCACTATTTTCTACCACTGCGTGTTAAGTGAGCGAGTTAGGGATCCTCACCCTCTTCGGAAACTCCTGGTAAAGAGAATCGCTCTGTTGATGTACAAGACTAGTGTTAGTTCCCTACAGAAGTGAGAACTGATCATGTACCCGCTGAGGTCGTACTCTCAAGCTCGGACAGGGAAAATGGGTGAGGCTGAATGCAAGCTTACCAGCCGCACAGTGCATATTTTATCCTCAGTGCCCACAGCTGCGATTGCGGGACATAGCTTATGAAAAACCGGTTCATTTCCGTTCGTTTTGACCAATCCGTTATTCATTGCCTACCTTCTCTCTTTCCTGTTTGCTGAATCTCATGAAAAGTCAGCTTCGCAATAGCGGATAAACCCACAGTTTATCCTTTGAATATTATAGTTGAAAGGCGGATTAACACAAACAATTTTTGCTGTGGAAGTTCGAAATACTTGTACAGCTTGGATGCTCGCGTTTTTCAGTTTTTCAATAGCGGAATCGCAGTATCTTGGAGCCCTGATAGGTAACTGTTTCGTTGGTTACTTAGCAGATAAATTCGGAAGACGTTTGATGTTACTGGTATCACTATGCCTTGGTATACCTTTCCTTGTCCTATCAGGTGTGTTGTGCTACTTACGATAAAACAGCATTGAATTCTTCGCACTGCTGTATAATGTTCGCCAGTTTTCAGGCGTATTCGACAGTATTGCACTCTTCTATCTGTTTCGCTTTCTTCTCGGAATCACCATAGCAGGTGAGCTGGTAGGAACACATGCCATGAATACATCCCATGTTCCCATTGGGAGAATTTTCGGTAATATGCGACCGCCCTCCCCATTG